TTGTTCTTCTCATCAGTAAAATGGAGGTAATAGCACCCTCACTGATTTACAGAGACATTACGGACAGAGTCATGTCCGTGGCAGGCTTTGAAAAATGCTCAGTATACCTAAAAGCAAGCATGTTGCTCTCCAGCCAGAGGCAGTTGCTCGCTGGCTTCTATGTCTGCCACCACGCCAGGCGTTCGTTACTCAGGCACTTAGCAGACCTTTGATCATTTTCCTGCTCCCTGCCAGGCAGCTGCGGTCAGACAGACCTGGGGTTAGCCTTGGTTCTGCCACTTAAATCTAGTGTGAATTTGGATAAGTTACTGCTAAAACCCAGCTTCTCATGTGTGAAATGGGGACAGTAATAGTACCAGCTCATGGCTTAAGCCTTGTGAGCACTTAGCATTGTATTTGACTTGTAGTTAGTCCTCGGCCAATTGTAGCAACTGTTATTGTCATTGTTATCATCGCTAATAATTAACTCCTGCCAACTATTTCTTGGAAATACATTCGATCCTTTTGATCCTTCCTTTCCCACTGCCACCAGCCTAGTCAAAAACCTTTGTCATGTGACAGCTGCCTTCTAATCACCCTCCCGCCTTGACTCTCAACTTCTCTAGTTCATTTGACTACCAATAATGTGCCAGGCCCCAAAGTAGGGACAAAACAAAACAAAACCAGATACAGAGCTTAGACTCTATAGAGCAGCAGATGTTAGACAGAAATAAATGTGTAATTCTTAGCTGTGACAAATCTCAGGAAGGAAAGGGACATATAACTGAGGAATCTGACCTGTCCTTGGTTTCAGGAAGGTCTCCCAGAGAACAGGACATCTGAGCTGGAGCTGGTTATTTAAGTTCACAATGTCTTGTTCTTCTCATCAGTAAAATGGAGGTAATAGCACCCTCACTGATTTACAGAGACATTACGGACAGAGTCATGTCCGTGGCAGGCTTTGAAAAATGCTCAGTATACCTAAAAGCAAGCATGTTGCTCTCCAGCCAGAGGCAGTTGCTCGCTGGCTTCTATGTCTGCCACCACGCCAGGCGTTCGTTACTCAGGCACTTAGCAGACCTTTGATCATTTTCCTGCTCCCTGCCAGGCAGCTGCGGTCAGACAGACCTGGGGTTAGCCTTGGTTCTGCCACTTAAATCTAGTGTGAATTTGGATAAGTTACTGCTAAAACCCAGCTTCTCATGTGTGAAATGGGGACAGTAATAGTACCAGCTCATGGCTTAAGCCTTGTGAGCACTTAGCATTGTATTTGACTTGTAGTTAGTCCTTGGCCAATTGTAGCAACTGTTATTGTCATTGTTATCATCGCTAATAATTAACTCCTGCCAACTATTTCTTGGAAATACATTCGATCCTTTTGATCCTTCCTTTCCCACTGCCACCAGCCTAGTCAAAAACCTTTGTCATGTGACAGCTGCCTTCTAATCACCCTCCCGCCTTGACTCTCAACTTCTCTAGTTCATTCTACACTGCTTCCAGAGTGAGTTTCCTAAAATAACAGTGCTTTGCTTATATCACTCTTTTCTTTAATATTGTCATTGAAAAAAATATTTGCAGTTTGTGCCACAAAGAGTTAAGCTTCCTTATGTGGAAGGAAGTCCTAGAAAATTGATTGATAAAAAGACCTAAAAGTGGATAGAAAAATGGAAGGACAAATTCCAAAAGGAGAAATATATAGTTACTAAACATGAAAACGTGAGCAACCTCACTTACTGTAAGAGAAATGCGAATTGAGATTGCACTAAAATTCATACTTTGCTTCTCAGGTTGACAAAAATTCAACTTTAATAATACCTTCTGGCCAGGATGTGCAGAAATTGGCATTTTTTTATATTGCTGGAGAGTATAAGTTGGTATAATCCCTGTAGAAGGCAATTTGGCATTACTCCTCAAAATTACAAAACCATATACCCTTTGATTCAGCAGTTTTCCTCTGGAAATTTATCTTACAGATATACTTGCACATACCAATGACATATGTACAAGATTATTCATTGCAGTAATGTTTGTAATAGGAAAGGCCTGGAAACAACCTAAATGCCCATCAGTAGGTCGCTGATTGAATAAATCACAGCACCTCTCTTCAAATGAATGCTATGCGCTACTATAGGAAAATCTTCAAGATAGATGGGTAAGAGAAAACAAAACAAACAAACAAAACCCCCCTCCAAAAAAAGCAAGTAGAACTATAGGTTTAGGATGTTACTTTTTGTGTAGGGGTGGGGCATAACACACACACACACACACACACACACACACACAACTCGGTAGTCATATACAGTATTAATAGCAGTTGTTACCTATGGTGGGAGGGGGATTAGGTAGATGGGAGACAGAGTTAAGAGGGGGACTTTTTGTTATATACCATTGTATGTATTTTTCAATTTGTGAATCATATGAATATTACCTAATCAAAAGATTACATTATAAATATTCCTATACTCATCTATTAATGTACTGAGCATCTACTGTGTGCTAGTACTGGGATACAAATGTGAAAGTAGTCATGGTGTGGTGGAAAGACCACGAACTTAGAGTTAGAAAGCTGACTCAAATTTTGACTCTGCTTCTCACTAGCTATGGATCTTGGCACATGGTGGGCATGAAACAGATACCTATTGAATGAATTTATGGTTGAAGTTACTTAACTTTTCTGAGTCCTGTTTCCTCCCATAGAAATGGGGATAAAAATGCTTCCTATGTCATAACAGTGTTGTGAGGACAAAAGATAGAATGTGTTATCAATTCTAGTAATAGTTAATGATAACTACTATATGCTGAGCACTTTCACATCCATTATTTCCTTGACTCCTCACATTATTCACTCACTCTCATGAGGAAATGGAGGGGTTGAGAGACATAATGACTTGCTGAAGGCCTCTCTGGGTGTGCGAGTTGTCTTCTGGCCTTTCCTTATTTCTACATTCCTATTATGTTCCACACAATAGAAACTATATATAATAGGTACTCGGGGAATTTTGAAAATCAAGAAAAACCAAAGTAAGTTTTACCACTGTTCTCAGTAACACGTTAGAGTAACAAACAGTAAGTCAGTGAATTCATTTCTGATAATTCAGTTTAGAAATATATAAGCTGGTCTGTTTGACATTCACTGCACTAAACACTTTAGGAAAATCCAACAAAAATCAAAAGTTTGTGCTTCTAATGAGGTAGGGGAGATAATGACCAATTCACAAAAATACCTATAAGGAAAATGTAGAAACTCATATCTGGAGATGCTACACTCAGAATCTTGCAGATTTACCACTAGTTCATTCTTAGGAAGAAGAAAATTATATAAAATATACCCAACATGGCACAATTTAAAAAACATTTTTATTGGAGTAAAACATACATGCAAAGCAGTGCAGGAACTAACACATTTGTGTAAAATATGGGACAGTTAATTTTTGTAAAATAGAGCACATCTATATAACCAGCACCTGGATCGAGGAATAGAATATTCCCAGCACCTACAGCCTCCTCTAGTCCCCCTTTCCTTCATTACCCACCCCTCAAGATAACCATTATCTTTACCTTTAACACAATAGATGTTATTTGACTGTTTTTGACTATTTACATAAATAGGGTTATAGAGTATGTGCCCATTTGAATCCAGCTTCTCTCATTCAACATCATATTTATGACAGTCATATATCTTGCTGAATGTAGATGAAGTTAATTTATTCCACAGTTTATTTCTCTGCTGTTGATGGGTTTTGGAGTTGTTTCTTTGGGACTGTTTGTTATAAAAGAGATGCTATAAATGTTTTTGAACACATCTTTTGGTGAATACGTGTGTACGTCTCTGTTGGGTTTATACCTAGGGATTGAGGATTGAACTGCTGGGTCACAGGCTACAAGTTACTTTAGCTTTAGTACACAATGCAGAACAGGTTTCTGAAGTGTTGTACAGAGTTCTCTAATTTTAGCCATTCTGGTAGGTGTGAAGTGAGATCACATTGCTGTTTCACTTTGCATTTCTGGGAAGATTAATAATTGAGAATCTTTTTGTATGTTTATTGGCTTTTTTGAGAAATGCCTGTTGAAATATTCTGCCTATCTTCAACTAGATTTTCTGCCTTTTTCTTACTGATTTGTAAGTGTTCTTTATATATTCTTACTACAAGTCCTTTTTTGGCTGTATGTTGCAATTACCTTTTCTCACTCTGCAGCTTGCCTTTTCACCAGTGATTTCTTTTGACAAACAATTCTTAACTTTAATGTTGTCCAATGATTAGTGTTTTCCTTTATAGTCAGTAGTACATGTATTTAAGAGGTCTGCCTACCTCAAGGTCATGAAGATTTTTTTGATATTTAATTTGGATACTCTTAGTGTTCTATCGTTTACATTTAGGTTTAAAATCCATCAGGAATTGATTTTTTGGAATAGTGTGAGTTAGGGATCTTCTTTTTTTTTTCTCCCTGTCCAGCATCTCTTCCTGAAAAGACAGGTGGTCCTTTCCCAGTCCATCACAGCGGCATCTTTGACATAAATCAAGTGACCATATAATGTACATCTATTTTTAGCCTCTCTGTTCTATTGGTCCATCTGTCTATTGTTGCCAATTACTGCTTCTATAGCTTTATAACAGGTCTTGATATCTGCTAGCATAAGTCAGAGTAGGCTCCAATTTCTTACCTTACGAAGCCATGTAGCACTGAAGTGCACTTCTACATCTGCTTTGCTTTCAGTGTCCAAGCGGATGTGACTGATTTGCCTGTTGTCATAGCCTGGTTATTTGTGATTACCTGGATCTTTGTCCCACCAAAGCCCTTTAAACTGAAAACCAGCCAGGTGTCTGCAGAAGAGCAAAGCAGACCCGCTGGGTAATTAAATAACGCGGGGGAGGGGGAGGAGTGGGTTAGGCGGGGCTGTCTCTCGAGAGGGGTACAGTGAGGAAGTGGTCAGTCTACACTTGAGGACTGGCTTGTTGGGGAGATAGGAGGGGAGCCAAATTAAAATCTGGGCAGAGGAGGGCCAGGCGAGGTCACTGCATGTAGATGTCGCGGGGGGTTCCGCGAGGCCGCGCGAATCGGTTCGCCGGGGTGGGGCCGAGAAGCCGCAAATCACCAGTTAGGGCTGGAGCGCGCGCCGCCGGCTCAGAGCCGCGCCTGCAGCTGCTGGGGTCCCGGCGCAAGCCCGAGCCGGAGCCGGAGCCGCCGGGCGCACCGGCCAGCGCGCACGGACTTCTCGGCGGGTGCGCCCCGCAGAAGATGAGCCGGCTCTGCGCGCCGAGCAGCCGCGTGCCGGGGCCGGTCGGGCGGCGCCTCTGAGCCCCAGCCGGCGAGCGCGGGCGCCGCGCGGGGAGGTGAGTCTTCGCAGCGCGTACTGCGTCGCGCGGGGTTCTGCTTCTCCCGGGGCGCCTCGGCCTCCCTCCCCATGGAGGACGTACGGAGAAGCTTGTTGGAGAAAGTTAGGCTGCGGGGCAGGTAGAGCCCGCGCTCTTCCCGCCCCCGCAGAGTTGGCCTTCGGGGGCGGGAGTGGCCGAAGTGGGGATCGGGCTTGCGTGCTCGGCGACTTCTGAACCGGCTGGGATTCCCCAGACGTGGCCCGCGGCGGGAGGCGCTCGGCGATTTGGAAAGAGCATCTCTGCTCTGCTCTCGGGCCTTCTCTTCCCGGACGCTGGCCAATCCTGACCCCTGGCCGGCCAGGCTGCAGGGTCCGCAGGTCCCCCGCCGGCCGTCCCCCTGAGCCCCGAGGCCGGCGCGGGTCGGGAACGCGAGGGCCAAGGGGCTCCGCTGGAAGCCCTGGACTTGAAGGAGGCGAGTTTCTCCACTAATCTCTTGGAAAGTTTGCAAAGAAAGCGGAGCCTGCCCTGTAACTGTTGACAACATCTCCCTCCCTCTCTCCCTTTGTTGAGAAAGCATGAATAGTTGGTTGTGCTGCTCCCCCGGCGTCGGGCAGGGGAGGGAAAGTGGGGAGGGGGAGTGCAGGCAGGGAAGGGAGGGACGATGGGCGCGACAGGAAGGAGGTTCCGATCTCAGCCCATCTTTGCTTACCGAGGCTGCCGAGCCTGCCGCCACTTTAACAGTTTGATCAGATGTAGACACTCGTAGGGCAGAGGTCGCCTGGGCTCCGACGCAGCCGACAAGTCGCAGTGCTCCGTGCGGAACACGATAGGTCACGGCTGGGGTTTTGGGGAGTGCAAAACTCTGGTTTTGGTGTTAACTAGCTTGAAGCAAGGTGCGAAGAGGAAAGACCTTTTGCCTAGCCTGGTGTCTGCTTTCGTATAAAGCCATTAGCTGAGATAGAAAATAGAGCCCTGCATTCAGATTCCTCTTAAACCTTGACTTTTATCTCCCAAGGCTACACAGATCTCTCCAAGGAAAATACGTTGGCGGAGAGAAGGTCAGTTTGAGAGCGGATAATCTCCCTGCGTGTTGTCAAGGACTGAGGCCCGTTCCGGGAGGAAGGGGAGGCCTAGGTGCTGGGGGCCAGCTCAGCAGAACAGGCTCCGAAGTGGGTAGGGGCTGCCCGGTTAATAATGGGGAAGCCACAGGCGAAGGGGTTGTATGCATGTGCAAGCATGTGGAGTATAATGTAAACAGCTTGCCATGCCAAGGGCTCCCTCACCCCCACTCCAGCTTTCTCTAAACTGCTGGTGAGAAGCCAGACATTTTCAGGATGACTAACCAAGATCTCAATCTCCTGTTCATATAGAGGACTGCTTGTCAAATGGATGGTAATCTTATGAACCTTATCATGTAAATCCTGTGCTGCTGGTCCTTGAAATACAATCCATGGAAGAACTATTCACACTTAAATCATTTGGCTAGCCTTCATAAGTTTACTTCAAAAATAAAGGGGTACTCCTAATTTCGAAACCCAAGCAAATTTTATACTTAACAGTTGTTCTCTCTCTTCTCCCTGTCTGACTGCAGAGAAGCTACAAAACTACGTATCCAAATTGTGAATCTGGGGTGGTCATAATGGAGCAGCAGAGGCAGTTACATTTCCAGGGTTTAAAATATACTAGAATTTTCTTAAAATCCACATCAGATGATCACCTATGAATTCAACTTGGAAATTTCTCATCTCAGAAGTAGAATGGAAAACTCCAAACAAGTGGGCTTCTGAATATCTCTTCTTTGACTTGCATGTGATCATCAGTTTCTTTGACACACCTTTATAAAAGCAAGTGGGTCCGGCTGCTGTTGAGAAGCATTGCAAAGCACAGCCACTGACCAGAGTCAGGAAGGTAGCACATAGGTTGGGAGTTCGTCATGCTTGTTCTTGTCCCTGTGGAGATTACAGCTCTTTGAACGTTGACATGGGTCTCATATTTTCATATCAAGAAGTAGAGTCTTAGACCTTTGCGTATCTGGCATTAGACTAAGTCAGGACCCTGTAGTCGTTTGCTTGCACAGTTGAGAGAGGTGAAGTCAGATGGCCAAGTCTCACCTGAGCTTTAAGACTGCACGCAGGCTCACTGGGTATGTGTCTCGCCTGTGTATGTGTATGTCTTACTCGGCTTGGTGTGTTTATGTCCACTTTTCTACATTAAAACATTTCCCTCCTCATCCTTCCTGGCTGCAGTTTTCTCCAGAAGCAACATCTTCATTGGCGAACCCTTGTGGTAATAGGGACACACTGACAAGCAGGACAGACATGGTCCTGGCCCAGCTTAGAGGAGACCCGCTATTGATTGAGTGCTTGCTGTGTGTCAAGGACTTTCCGCACATGATCACATTTATTTTCCACAGCAACCCCATGAAATAGGTATTGTTAACCCTTTTTTACAGATGACATACCGACTGTCAGAGAGGTTGAGTAACTAGTCCCCGGCCATACCGTTAGGAAGCCAATGGCAGAGGAGAAATTTGAACCTGTTGAAATTTGGTCTTCAAAGCCTAGGTTCTAAGTCATACAACATTTGGTTTTAAAAATTCAGAAAGTATAAAGAAGTATATAATGACTAGGAGCATTGGAACAGAAATATCTCCAAGTGGAGAAAACCTGGAAGCCAGAAACTGGAGACTTGGGCTTAGTCTCCGCCATGTTCTTCCAACCACGTGTTATTACCTCAAGTCCTTCTCATTTGCTGAATCCCCTGCCTATGGCTCCCTTCTGAACTTCTCTTGACTGGTTCCTCCTCTTTTTCAGGTCTCATGTCATTGTCACCTCTTTAGAAAAGCCTTTCCAGACCAACCTAATCTAAAACAGCCCTCCATCCCAACTAGTGTGTTCCACCATTTCATCCTGCCTTGTGTTCTTTCGGCACGACGACTGGGGTATTAGCTAGTTTGTTTGCTTGTCTGTGTTGGTTGTTTACCCCATCACAATGTAGGTTCCAGGGCATCAGAACCTTGTCTGGTTTATTATAGCCACAGCACTCGTACATTGCAAACCCGCAGAGAACATATATTGAATGAATGAACATTTATTTCCCTTACCAGGCAAAAGAAAGGGGCTTGATTCTTTGCGATCCCATCTACATATAACACTCAGAGAATCCGCCTAGTGGTCCAGTGTGGTAAGTGACTTCACTCTCAAAACGGAACGGAACTTCAACTTAAATTCCAGCTGTGCACCATGTACTTCCGTCCTTTAGATCCTGGAGTCTGGAAAAATTAAAAGTAAATAAAGCTCAAGTGGGAATATAGAGTGGCCCAAAAGATTTCAATGAATTCCTTCCCCCTGTAGTTCATCCTTCCACTCCCTACCCCACTTTTAGTTTTATTTTTTTGAAATTAGTCTCTGGACTGTGCCCACCTCCCCCACTATTGGGCCGATTCAAGCTTGACACAGGGCCCAGATTGAGCCAGTCTTTCCAAGTGACTAGACACAGTGCAAGGTTGTTATTTTAATGGGAAAGAATCCCAATTGAGAGGTATCAGATTTCAGAGGAGAGCCCGGTGTGCATATTTCCAGTTTGTCTGCAGCTGAGAACTCTCTAGAAATTTAAACTTGGATGATCTCCCTGTACTTTTTAAACTCTGCTTCACATCCTCCAGGTCAGCATCCCTTCCTTAGAAAGTAAAGCCTTCCCTGGCCACCAGATTAACCCAGACCCTGGTCCTTACTCTGTGTGCTCTCCTAGCATTGGGAATCACTAGCCCTCGCTGTCTGTGTCCTCCATCAAGCAGTAATATCATGAAGACAGTTTTTTGACACTGTCCCCAGCACCCAGCACAGTGCCCACCCCACAGGCGGCCTTCCGCAGGTGTGAGTAGAAGAATGAACACTCTTGTTGCCTGCACACCACCTCTTCATTGTTCTGCTCTGGGACCCGGGTCAGCAAACTGGAGTGTCAGTTGCCTTCTAAGAGCAGAGACTCCCTTACCCAGTGGCTCCTGGCCCTGGCTGCACACTGGGCAGTACTGGGGCACTTAAAGAAGCTGATGCCAGGATCCTACCCACCAAGGTCTGGTTGTCGTGGTCTGGGTCACAGCTTGGGTGTCAGGGTTTTAGAAGCTTCCTGAAGGTGGGCAGGTTCTTAAAGAACTTCTGCTTTAAATGTTCAGAACTTATTCCTTGCTTTGCCCTATAGGCTTGAAGCAGCCATGGTGAGAGAGAGCATGGATGTAATTCATGGATATTGTATGGTTCCTGGCAGTTTAAGAAGTACTTTCACATCTGCTATCACATGTGAACAAGCTAGATGCCTACTCTCTGGTTTAAATATTCCCTTTATGTTGATGACTCTTAAACATCTACCTCGTGGCCTGGCTTCTAACTGCATATACCAGTGTCCAACCTCCTGGACCCAACTGTCCCACTGCTCCCTCCCTTACAGCAGTTCCAGTGGTGAGCTTGTCACCTTCTTCTGCTAAGCAGGGGTCCTCCTTTTACACTACTTGGCACATTACAGCATTGCACCATCCTCCTGTGGCGATGGCCTCTGTCCTCCTAGCCAGTGGCCATGAGCTCCTCCCTTTTTGCTCTGTCCCTCCTTTTCCTTCCTCTGGACGCTGCCACAGGTCAGAGTTCTTCCTTGGTCCTCGCTAGCTTGGTTCTGTCAGCCTGCCTGGGTTCCCTACCTCCTCCAGAACTACCAGTCACCTCCCTGGGCATAGATGGGATCCTGTCCCTCCCTTCCAGATCTTTCCTAGCAGCAACAGTCAAGAACAGACACCTCGAAACAGCCTTCAAGACTTGATCTGGTCCTGAGCTGTGCTTTTTCCAGGAAATGCTTCACAGCTTCTCCTTCAAGCCAATGGCACAACTTGCTGTTCTCTGAGCCTGGAGGTTGGGGGGGCACTTCCCCTGCCTTTGTGCATCTGTTGTTATAACATCCTCTTAGAAGGTTTTGCCATACAGTTTTCAACCTTTCAGAATTCTTCCAAAATCCTTCATCTCTGGTATTGCCCTGAGATCCTCTTTGAGTCATTTTGTCCAAATTAATTCTTCTTCCCTCTAGCGTGTTAAAGGGCTCTCTTGATGAATTATTGTTCTCCCAGTATTATAGTCGGGACTGGCACTTATGCAGCTTTGTTTCTGAGTAGGCACTTAAATGTTTGTTGATTTGGAAGTAGGAAGGGCAGGTGTTAATAACCCTCACTATCAGAGAAGAAACTGAGGTGTGGGTAGCTTACTGAAGGGCATTCTAGAGCATTTTGGCTCCATCTTGTAATCTAGGTAGATCTTAGGTAAGCAGAGAGGAAGCAGCTGCCAGAGACTCAGGAGCCAGGGGAACATCGTACTATCCTAGAAACAGACATGATATGCAGTGTGGCCCCTTGTACACAAAGAAGTCCTGTAGGGTGCTTTGGGCCTTTCCAAAGTTTATTTGAAATAATCCAGGCCTGTCCATGAAGAAAGAAGGTGCTGATAGTTTGAACAGGCAAAGTCCACAGCTATAGGGTGTGTATGTGCATGCGTGCTTGTGGTGAGGGGAGGTCAGGGGGTGAGGGAATCCCAGTTAGCTTACATCACTAGTGGTCGGGTGGGAGGGCTAGGGAGTTTGGTTTCTTTTTAATAAAGATGATTAACATTGAGCAAGAGCTGACAGTGTGCCAGGCACTGGCCAGACCTGGGAGGGGTCCACATGGCACTCAGTCCTGTTGTTCTGGGCCTGCTGTGAGCCAGGCCTTCTGTGTGGTCCCAGTTGACATGGAGCAGACAAGCCCCAGAACTACCAGGTTTGACAAAGAATTGAGGACAAGGTTAGGATTATGTACCTTGAGTGACGGGTCTCCTTCCACTCAGCCCCCAGCACTTGTGAGTTTGTCTGTGTTGCACATGGAAGCTGTGAACTGTGGGCATCATGTTTCTTTTGCATGCTCTGCTGTCTTTATCCTGGTTCTGCCTTTTTCACTGTGAGCTTCTGGAGGACTGTGAGCTTCTAGGGGGCTGTGTCCCCAAGCACTCTCCAAGCCCCCAGTTCCTCTGTGGAACTGACTCTGCAGTGGTGCTGGTAAGTGATGATTTCATGCAGAGCTATCTCTGCAGTGGAAAGGGTGGTCTGTGAGGAATAGGGGCTGCAGCTTTACAACATCCTCCAGAGCAAAGGGATGCTCCGCTCACCAGCTGCTGGAAGGGCCAGGGCATTGGGCTTACCTGTGCTGCTGTGTGGTCCAGACCACTCTGATGCCATGACTAGTGGGACAGATTCTGGATCCTTAATGTCTCCAGGTCCTAGTTATTATTATATTATAACATAATACTTATAATATATATCATATATATAATATAATATAATACTTACATATAATAAATTAATATAATATTAATATAAATATTGATAAATTGGCCTATTTACTATTCAGGCTTGTGTTTCTTTTCCTCTATATATATTGGCCTTAAAATTTATGTAATTTTATAGTTATATAATTTGGCTTTGGTCAAAACCCTAGTTTTAGGTGGGTTGGGGTGGGGATGCTGACTCTGCTCAGGGTGAACATTTCTACTAATGGTCATAGCTGGTAATAATTGCTGGGGCTAGTTTTGCACGTGACCTAATGTACCATTTTCCCTTTCTTTCTGTGTGCCCCCCCCATAGCCCCACCCCCCCACACACATACTTTTTTTTTCTTCTGTCTCTTTCCTTCCCACTCTTCCTGACAGCATAAAGGATAAAGACAGCAGAGCATGCAAAAGAAACATGATGTGCACACATTGCTTAACCCTCATGGTGGCAGGTGGGTTCCTGACCCTTCTGGGAGGCAATATATCAGGAGCCCAACCCCAGTGGCTTTCTTTCTCAGCTGAGCCCACTGATGTATGGAGGAGTGACCCACCTCCTAACCCCTGACCCTGGCCTGTCTTCATTAATTAGACTATATTGATTTATTTATAAGCACCAGGTCTTTGCCCGAAAAATTCTGCCCCATTACTCCGGGTAGCACAGCAGAGAGGCTGATCTGGCACTAAGGCATTCTAGCAGCTAAGGAATTCCAGTAATTTCCACCTGTTCTTATCATTTATTTGCAGGGCAATGGAAATACATGGGCTAATTATCTAACATATTTATAACATTTTTTCTAATACATTTACTACTGAAACCTTGAGTCCTTCCTCAGGAATCTTTTTGTTAGTCATGCATTTCCATCACCTTCAGTCATCTGAAATAATAAGAGGGCTCATGTGCCTCCAAAGTCTCTGAAATGTGTTTGCCCTTTTCCACTGACACGTCTGCTGCCAACCCAGAAGATATTCATTCTCTGTAGGATCAGAAAAAGGAGATGAGTAAACTTCCTATTTGTACTAAATTTCACTAGCCATTCAATGTTTGTCTTTTAGTCCTCCCTTAACATTTTATTTGTTATGCAGTGTATTTCCATTTCCTTTTATAAGTAAGGACTCAGTTCTTGTGATTATCTTCAACTTATACCTTCACTCTTTTCTTTCCCCCTTAGACTTGAAAATCATGGCTGCGGGAAAATTTGCAAGCCTTCCCAGAAATATGCCAGTGAATCACCAGTTCCCCCTGGCCTCGTCCATGGACCTTCTGAGCAGCAAGTCACCTCTCACTGAGCATCGCACAGATGCCTATCAAGATGTGTCTATACACGGCACCCTTCCACGGAAGAAAAAGGGCCCCCCTCCCATAAGGTCCTATGATAACTTCAGTCACATGGGTACCCTCCCCCATTCCAAATCCCCACGGCAGAACTCCCCTCTGACCCAGGACATCATCCAGGAGCACCCACTGCAAGACTGGAAGGGTGAGACCTTCACCTTCAGGTAATTTCTTCAATTCCACAAGTGAAAATGACTTGTTTTAAAGGGTTTCTTAAAAAAGTCTTTTTATTAGGGAAAATATCAAACATGTGCAAAGTAAAGCAAATAGTTTAATGGACCCATCGCCCAGCTTCAAGAGTCATCAGCTCATGGTGAGGCCTGCTTTGGCTGTGTTCCCACCCACTTTCCTTCCTCTGGTATTATTTTAAAGCAAATCTCAGACCTCATTTTATTTTATCTGTAAATATTTTGGTATGTGTCTTTCAAAGATAAGGATTCTTATTTTTAAAAAATACAACCACACTCTAAAAAAACTATAACATGTAAAAAAAATTAACCATTTCTTTATATCACCTAATATTTCAGAGCATTTTAAAGCCAACTTACTATATCACTAAGTCCTTCAAAAGGAAGTACAGTACAAACTATGTCCATCCACTTCAGTAGAGATGCCAGGATGTCTACAAGTAGGACCTGCATCTCCTGGTAGGTAGTTGTCAATGTGCTGAAATACAATTTTTGTATGTGTGCATCATCAGCTCAGCTTCAGGATACTTTAGAACAAGAATTGATTTCTCCTCTCCACCAGAGACCTGGGTAAATAAGCCTTACAGTTATAAGGGCTTCTTCTCTGGGTTTGTAATGGGCATGGCTGTGATTGGTATCTGCTTGTTAGAGCTGCTTTAGAAACTGCACTCCTTTTCCTGTTGGGGAAGATAAGCAACCTGTATGCATTCCGGCAAAGAAGGGGGTGGTTTCTTCTGTCGTCTCTACTGGTGCCTGTCTTTTTGTCCAACCCTGTAGCAAAGAAAGCCACTTGGATCCTAGCTCATTGATTTGTTCAATACTTATGTATTGAGCACTTACATTAGTTACAGCACGTTGATTTTATAAGCACCAAGTGCTTCACCAGAAAAATTCTGCCCAGTTCCTCTGAGTATCTTAACTGAAGGGCAGGTCCAACGTTGAAGACATTCTAGCAGCCAAATCAATCCAGAAATCTACTCTAGCCCTTTTACAGAGAGGGGAAATATGTGAACTAACAGGATAGCTATGGGGCATCTCAAATGGTGCCCTCCCAGAGCAACATTCTAGTGGAGGACCCAGCTAATAAATTTCAGTAAATAAACAAGACAATTGCAGATTATATTAGTGCTATAAAGGACACAGAGCACGAGGCTGGAGATTTACTGTGGTGGTATCTTTGTAGGGTGAGCATCTCTAAGGAGGTGACATTTAAGCTAAGATACGCACAATGAGAGAGCGCAGCTATGGAAAGGACCAGTGGAAGGCTGTTCCAGGCATCAGGAGGAGAAGTGCAAAGGACTTGAGATGGGAGCAAGTCTGTCCTAATCAAAAAGCCCAAAACAAACCGGGAGTGGCCTGGGGCCTAGAGTGTAGTGAGTTAGGAGAACAGTGTAGATGTTGGGAGAGGGCTAGGCAGGCAAGAGCTCAGAATTAGTTTTGCTGTGTAGTTGGGATGGTACAGGAAGAAACTAAGTGGAGGTCCAGATAGTCTTTGTAGAAAGCACTGGAGAACTCTGAAATGTTTCTGACATGAGACCGGAAAGTTCCTCCAGGGTGTCCTGGGATTAGAATGCCCTACATGTACTCTGCAGAATGTAGGTGGGTGACCTCCCAGCTCAGAGAGCTGGTGGGCGGCCTAGTGATGAAACAGGTATATGTGGAACTGCATATGGCACAGTGCAGTTAACATTGCATCATGTGCACTTGACAGGGCGGGACACAGAAGGGAGAGCCATCATTGCTCTCTTTCATGAAGGCCATGAGACTACAAAGAAAAATAACTTTTAGTCAGCCAAAAATAAGCGTGAATGCCAGACTGCACAATGTGGAGCCAGAACCAACTGTTGCCTGGCTTATTGTAGCTGCTTCTTGTTTATTAAGTTCAACTCTGTATTGAGCTCGATATCTACTATGCATCACATAAAGACAATTCACAGACTCATTCCTTTGTGAAGTTCGAAGGTCCTGGCTGGTGGCAGCCCTTACAAGGGGAAATTCTGTGGGCTGGGGGTGGTAATGGAGTCACCCTTCCTATCTTAAGGAAGTTCTTGATAAACACCCAAGGTCCAAGCTGTCAACTTGCCAGGAGTTCAAAGCTTTTTGATTTGAAAACGGACTTGAACAGAGGTCAGACCTGTGTAAAAGATCTTATCAGGGGGTGGGCGCAAGTCCTGAGTTTGAAGTCCAGGCTGTGGAAGACTTAACAAGCCGTGGTGGTTTATGTTTGTTTATGATTCAGAACTATGTTCATCCAAATTCACATCTTTTTTCCTAGTCTTAAAATATCTTATTGTTAAAGATGAATACAGGAAGTGACAGATGCGTAGCCTACAAAATTATGCTGAGTGAGAAGGCATGTGGTTGTGTGTCAAAGGATCATATAGAGTCCCCTTTCCCTGCTCCCCAGTCTCATTATTAATATATTTTATTTAGCTAACACATTAAAAAAATATCCTGCAACATTCCCAATTCTGAGGAGCCCAAAGTATCTTATATTCTTTTTTTTTTCTTTATCCTTTTAAGTATCCCTAATAAGATTATGAGCTGCCTCAATTCCTTTTTTGGAGCAAGCTATACAGTATCAACAAATAAAGTTTGTGCATTTGAAAAGCTAAGGACAGAGGAATGAATGAGAACCTGAGGCTCCAGAGAAGGTGGTTTTGCCTGATGGGTCAGAAGAACCACCCTGAGAGGGAAATAGCATTTCTGTCCCTAACACAGCATCAGCGCTCACAGGAGCCGTGAATGCACCCGCTGCCTGCCACTCCGGCTCACTCACCACTGGAAACTGGGGGAACCCTGTGTGTTTTAAAGTGAGAGACTGGATGTCTGTCTCTGGGGACCTAGACCTCTTAGGTCTGTCTGCAGCAAGATTATTGATTTGGGGGCACTTGTTTCAGGTAAACATTTTTGGCCTTACTTGTGTTTTTCATGATGAATTCAGGGGTTAATTTCAACTAAGTGATTTACCCAGATGTCAAGTCTGAAAACCTTCCATTTCATCACATTTGGTGTTGGCATGACGGTAGTGGGGCCATTGCTGAGAGTCCGTGGCCCCTCTTCCTGTACCAGCCCACTTGCCCTGTGCTGAGAGCGAAACCCTCCAGACAGCCCCTCTTTGTCTTGTGAAATACCCTGATAAGTTATAAGTTTGCTAGTTTCCCAAGAAATATGTTTATCTTATCTATCATTAAAAAGTTACCCTTATTTAGAATTGAATATTACCTGAATATCCACCCTGTGGGAGGCCTCAGGCAAAGCAGATGAAGTCTCTCCTTTGACCTAAAAATTTGCATTAAGCTGTCATATAAACCTGTGTCAAATTCACATGCATTATTATCTCCTACATTTTATAGTTTTAAAGTATCTTAAAATATACATTCATAAATTATCTTATTTGAGCAGGGTTTATCACAAGCATCATCACCATTGTTTTGTCATCATTTACAGTCGAGACAATGGTTCAGGGATACTGAGGCAACTGAGGTCAGGCCCTAATGATCTGTTTATTAAGCAGACTGAGTGGGTGACCAAGAAAGGATTAGAACCGAGAAAGTACTACAGGGTCTTCCCCAGACACTGTGCTGCACAGCCTCCCAAGTTTGGTGCCTGGTGTGGGCATCCTCTGAGCTATCATCTGGCATGGAAAGCTTTGGCCCACGGAGTCTGAACCCAGCACTTGGACATCCCGTTGGGGAGAATGGAGCCTCTGCTGCCAAGAGCCAGGCCAAAGGCAGGCCTGGAAGGGGCATTGGCTTCATTCGGGGACTGTATCTCTTGGCCTAGCTGTTGTCCTGGCTGCCCTTGGACGAACTTGTGGTTTTGAAAGGTGGCCAGAGTGAGCAGCCAGGGAGCTCTACAACCTGCTGCTTGCTGTCACAGAAGGAGCCTTTGTTCCACAGGGGGGCAAGGCTTCTCTGAGAGGGCTGCAGACAGGATTTCCTCTGACATTAGTGTTGTTTGGCTGGTGTCCCTTTGACTTGTTTATCTTCAAGGGTGAATTTTTATTTGAATCTGGGACCTTCCTTGGGCTGAGAGGCAACTGGTTCCTGTTGTTGAGATGTCTGTTGCTGGAATGGCTGAAGGACCTGTGCTTGGAGACAGTGCTGGGACCTTTTCCTGCCTGTGAGTACATGGAGGCACACATTCCTGGGAACAGCTGCTGGGTGCCTAATTCCTTCTGCCCCTTGTGCTGCAGGAGCATGTGGTGAGACAATGTAATGTTTCATTAGTTCACATGAGTGGAGCTGACTGACTAGTCACAAGTGTTTTAACTGATGGGGGCCAGAAAGTCTGTTGAATTATCCCACGTTAAAACCCAGTGTACTTTCCCAGGCAGAGTAAACGACCGTGTCACAGTGTCAGCTCTTCAATGGTGAGGCAGAACTGTAAAGCACAGGATCTGTGCAGACACCTCTCTAAACATGTATTTAAAGACCTAACTCTGTGCTGTGTCAGTGCCCTCATCTGAAAAATTGTTTCATTTGTTCCTCTTCAGAACCACCAAGTTCTATAGTTACTGCTTTCTCCTTACCAAACCAAGCTGTTCCTGCAGATATGCAAATAAAAGTTAGCTCAGAGTTAATCTGAAGGATCTACAGCATGAAGGTCCACATGCAAACATCTGCATTTTCTTTATACATGGATGTGTCTGCTGTCCTCAAATTGGAAGCTTTTCATGCATAGAGGAAAAGTTGGGTTTAAAGTTGAAAAAAATGTATTTACTAAATTAATAGATTCTATTTAATAGAAGATACATTGATTCAGTTAGCAGAATGGCAATGGTTTGACAGCCAGGAGTGTCTCTGGAAAGTAATAGTTCACACACTGAAGTTTACTTTTTAGAATTTCAAGTTGAGTTTTTTCCCCTAACATTTTGAAACGTCCTTTGGTGTCTGAATGCAGCTGCTGGGGACAGGTTGATGGGTTCTGAGGAGCAGCACGTGTCCAGGCCCTGGTGGCCCCTGGTGTGCTAA